AAAACAATCAAATTGAAAAGAATTCCCTCTTCTGTGTGCCACCAGACCTGTGCCCCTGCATCTGCAGCCATATTCTCTGCCGACTCCCATACCTCAGCCGTGCCCTGGTTCCACGCCCTCTCGCCCACCGGGGAATCTGCTCCTGAAAGAACCTCTTTCCCTGAGCTGCCAGCTTCCCACTCTCCTGGAATCTTTCCACCACCACCGTACATGCTGTAATAGGCCCATCGCTAGAAAAGCCCTTTGAGCCCATGTTCCCCTCCAGGTGCTGCTCTCTCTCTGCTCTCTCCAGCCTGCCATAAAACGACTCTTTCCAAGTTTAAGGAACCACCTTCTTGCCAAATTGAATGCTCCCTTTTGGTTTATCCTGCTGGGGCCTCTCACGTGCATTTGACTCAGGAGCCTTCCCTGTATTTACTGTAAATTGGCCGTCACCACTCATCCACTTCATCCCTGTGGCTGCCTGTCCTGGTGTTTCCCACCATAGCCTTACCGCCACCTGCAATGCTTACATTTACTTGGCTTTGCGTCTGTTTGTCAGATGTCTCATCCAGTAATAAAATAAACCCCATAAGGGCAGGGTCTTTGCTTCGTTGGTTATCCGTGCTCCGCCCAGAATTTGAACATGCCTAACGCTTGGTAGACACTCAATAAATATCTTGTGAATAAATGAATGTTCCTGAAACCATCCTCCATTTCCTGCTAAGCCTACTACCTATCCATCATAGACAAAAATCTCACTTGTAGAGTTTCCCTTCTGATTCATGACTGAATTTTGTTTTATGTCTTATCCCTGATTAGAGGAGTTCGTGTATTCTAAAAATTCCAGGAACTGTCTCCACCTTGGTTCATGAGGCTGGTTTGTCTTCCTTCTGTGACGAACTCGCATGTCTTCTGTCTCTGTGTGCACACGTCTGCACACGTGCTTCAGGTCCCAAAGGAATAACTGTTCCAAGAGCTTGAGGCCTTAAAAAAAAAAAGTTCTCCATTTCTTTAAAAATACATAATTGCTGCCTCAAGAGATATTTTTACAGTGTGTCCCTAGAGGAGGAATTCCAGCTGATGGCCCAATCTAGGGCAAAGGCCCGTAGACAGACAGTCTGGCTCCAATTTATGCTCTGTGCTAACATGGCTAATAGGCGTTCGTATTTTGATTTAGAGAAGTGCTGTACTTGATCCTGACTTGGTTGTACACTGGTAACATCTGGCTAAGAACCACAGATTTAAAGGCCAAGAGCTATTTATTTTCTTCATCATCTTCTTCTCTCTCTCTCTCTCTCTTTCTGTATTCAGTAAAATGTCTTGGGAATGCTTTCAGTGTTTTGATAGAGCAATATACAGAATAAATTGGCAGAAGTTTAGTTTTCCCCATATTAAACTCTGTGGTAGACACTTTGAACCTTTTGGAACTATTATATATATGTAATACGTATCAGAGCTTCCACAAAACCCTGTGAGTGCCTTTACTATCCCACTTTTTTCCTCTATCCAAGTTTTTGCTATCACTTCATTTTAGACCCTAAACTCAACACTCACTACAGTTAAATGGGAAAAAAAGCAGCAACTCTTGATTCATAAGGTGCCTATAATTCTACGAACATCTAATGAAAATGAGCAAACATCTTTGTATAAAACTTGGACTGAGTCCAGAAGTATGTTTCGCTCTCAGATGCCTGATAAAACAGTGAAATTGCAGGCGCTGGCAGCTCCGTCGCGGTAGTTTGGCAAGGCAGAAGGTGCCCGACACTGAGACATTGCTCAGGCTACACACACCAAATGTCCAGTCATCTTTCTTGGATTCTTAGATCTGTGAGTCCTTTAGCTGGAAAAATATGGTACTGTAATCTGCTTACTTAGAATTAGCTGTCCCAGTGACTTAGTAAGCTGGAAAAAACAAAAAGTAAAATTAGATATTTGAAAGTAAGCCCTCACCAGACATTCTCTTAGAAACAAGATCACCACCTCTTACAGGCATGGTTTTCCTTGGCTTATGGCATCACTCCCTAGCCCATCTGTGCCAAGCCTTTGGCATGGCTGACGAAACATCTCCCTTTCAACAGGCCTTGCTCTCTGGAAACGTTAGTAAAATGCAGCTAGTTCACACTCCAGCGAACCACAAACCTAAACTTTCCCAGTTAACAAATGATTATTTTGCCAAAATGCTTACTAAGTCCTGGCTCTAGCCTAGTGTGTGATGTGGAATCGCCGCAGCTTGAAAAACAAATGAGCAGCCCTCCCAGTGCCGTGGGTTTGCATTCCAGTGGAGTGCTCAAATACAGTTTTCATCATGCCATATGCTGTGCTTGCTTGCTAGAGGAGCCTTGCATTTTTTTAAAAAAAAATTATATTTGCTTGCATGCTTATCAAATGTACAGAATACATTCTTCATGGATTTTCCTATCACTGTTTGGGTCGCATAGAGAGTTACGTACTTCAGAAGCATGGAATCAATCAAAGTCACAATCAAAGAGGAACAGTATGGTTTCTCCCATCCCCATAAATCTGATCTGTAAATGCAAAGAATGTGAAGACTGAGCATAAGAAATTTAATAATTTTATTTAAAACTTAAAAAGAAAAACTGGCAAAACATAGGATAAGCGTCTAACCAACCTGGTCTCCAGAAGGAAAGCGTTTTAAATAAGATGTTTCTGAACCCCCATCTGAAATACATATCTATAAGGCAGTCATCATCGCAAACATAACAGAGCAGTGTGGAGCTCGGTTTTATTGTCTTGCATCAGTGAACATTCCTCAAAAGCATAGAGCATCACTAATGGAATTATGTGTTTTCATGCTGTAATTACATTTGATTTTTCCTGATATTTCTGTAGATTTTTTGTTCATGGTTCCATGACTAGGCAGAATACTTACAAAGTTTCTATGTTCTCTGCCTATCCAGCGCCTCCCCCACCTCCCAAAAAAGACAGAGACTAGCAAGAGGAATTTTTTAACAGAAAAAAGGCAAAATGTGTATTTTTTAAAAAATGTATTGAACTGTCAGAGATTTTCTTTCAACAGCAACAACAAAAACATGAACAACGAAAAAAGAATTTTACAGGAAGGAAACAGAGCAGGGATCCTTCTGAGTTCTAAAACCCCTTGAAACACAAAACAGGCACTTAATATTTTTGTTCTTGTTTTTGAATGAATATTTGTTGGCTACAGCAGAATTTATTTGATATTTGGGTATGTTGCCCCACATGGTCCTGTCACTGGTGGGAAGACAGATGAACGTGGCGACAGAGTCAAGCTGACTAGGAGAACACAGTGTCAGGATGCCGTCAAGTATGTGACAGTCAACATCCATTTTTGAGAAGTGAGAGTATCTAGCTCTGAAATCCACAGAAATCTTGAATGAGAAGATGTAAACAATTAGAAAATTATGTTGCAATCCAACATGTTGTTATTGTTTTATGTGCATTTTCTCCCACATCAAGTCTTAGCTTTGTGCTGCACACTTCAATGACCTCTTGGCGTTCAGTTCCTATTTCTTAGCATGCAATTCCTAGGCTCCAGATTTTAATGGCTACAGAACACAGAGCTGACACTTCAGACATGTTAGCACTCTAGGGCTTTTGCCTCAAAGCATTGTGGAAAGGAATGCAGGAGTAAGTCTGGTTGTCGTGAAGGTACGGCATGAGGCGGGGATTCCACTTGCGAGTGGAATCAGCTCAGGGGTATAGATGAATACTGCTCGGCGTGACCTGGGTTGCTTGTTCTTATCATAAATTATGTAAAGTTAGCATTACATTTCCCCGAGTTTAAATACATTTCTTGAAATGCCATTTATTAGAACACTGAAAACACAATTTCAGTTCTCTCTTCTCAAATCCCTACAGTCTGGCTCCTGGCCCAGCCACTCAACCCAAATCACCCTCTGAGGTCTTCCAAAATAACTTCTCAGCCAACACCAATAGTATCCTTCTACATTTGTCAGCTTTATTCAAAACCATATTCTTCTCCCTGCTAACATCCATCTGGTCTCAAATTCTAAGGCTCTGTCCCTTCCAGGTTTCCTATTTTCCGTATCTCCAGTGTCACACCTATTAGCAGTTCTCTTTTAGAGATCATTCCAACTTTGATAATTTTAAACACAATGTTTGTGCATGAATTACTTCCCTGTCCCTATCCCTAAACTTCTCTTACTTTTTAGTCTTAACACCACTTGCTGCCAGGCCTTCAGCTGTCGTTAATCATGGTCAAGTAACAACTCTGGTCTTGATTTTCAACTCCTTGCTGCTGTTTAATATCTTGGTTCTGTAAACAAAAATTGAGTCATTTTGACTCCTTATTAACCCCTTCACTTTTGTTAAGCTACCCACAGCATGTATTTTCTACCTAGATTACATTTATGGAAGTAATTTTCTTTTAGTTATCGTCAGCCTTCCCCTCTTCCACCCTAGTCAAATGCAGATGAGACCAAACTCGACACATGTTTGAATAGAGATTCCTGTTACCCTGTTGATCAAAATGTAATTAATAATTAAGTCGTGGTTGCACCATCCTGTACCAGCTGTTCTTATTTCACCTCAAGATAACTTTCTCTTTTGAAGTCCTGCACACATCCAGTTGACGTACTTCTATCTTTTAATTCTGATTATTTGTTGCCAATCTTAAAGGGATATTCTCTCCTCTTTTTAACAAATTCGCCCCATTCTCCAGCGTCCCATCCAAATACCTTTCTCCAAAAGACTTTCCGTGAATTATGTGTAAACTGGGTCATATGAGCCAGCTGGCTTTCCTCCTCCTCCTCTCATGAACACGTGGCTTTATGTGACAATATATGCTGAGTCATCTTGATGTATGTCTAAATTCCCAGATGTGTCTGTTCATTTGTTATGTCCTGAACCTCTGGAAAGTCACCTTTGTAGATAATTGGGAAATATTTTGGATCTTCAGTAAAAGTCCATGCAGTCTCTTCCTCCCACAGCAATATGCACTTAAAATGTTCTGGTGGTTACTGAAATTTTGCCTCATTATGTGTGCATTTTCTTTTCAGGATCCCCCCATGGCTGTAACCCTTGGTCTCCGTATGGAGGAAATGATTTTTAACCTTGCTGATACGCATTTGTTTTTTAATGATTTAGAGGTAAGAATTTTAAAAGGTAGGAATAGTTGTGTCCAACACTAAAACTCTCAGATGGTTTCTGTATCTGCAGATAGCCTCAAGAAAATGGAAAGATAGAAATTTAGTTCAAGAGAACCATAAAGTTCTCATCAAGAGGAAAAATTGTATTTACAAATATAAATTTAAATTGTGTTCATGAATAAATATATATGTACTGGTACATACATAGTGCAAAAATGTCCCAGAAGAGATGGTCGACCTTGCCATCCCATACTCTGCTCCTGGTTCTTTTAGTGTTTCAGCCACAACCCATTTGGCACCTTGGGAATCAACATTAGCTCTTCCAGATGGCTAACCAGGATACTATTTAAGTTAATCACTAGACAGTATTCACAGATACCATCCATGGTGATAGCATGATCATTAAATTTTGCAGATAATCTGAAACCTAACTTTAGACAACATTATCATTCCTCATTTCCTCCCCTTTTGTATAAAACGGTGCTAGAGCTATTTATATAGCACATTTGATGGGTTTGAATACATTTAGTTGCTTCTTTTTTTAAATTTATTTTTCCATTTCCAACCTCAAATGGCAACACAGTGTCTAATGGCAAACAAGAGGAAGAGAGGATAAAAGCAATAACAACAAAAAAATGAAAGGGCCCAAGAAAAAAACAGCCTCAGAGTAGTTGAATCTGTGCTGTAATAAGGTATATAGTCTGCATGCTAATAACTTTGGTTATTAGGCATTCAGATGATAGAATCTGAAAATAACTAAGTAGTTTGTGCATTTGGCAGAAGTACTTCTCAAGCAAGCGTGATTATGCTAAAATAGATATTTCTTTTTCTTCTTTTTAAATGACATATTTAAATTTATTTTTTATCTCATGGTTTCAGCATGAAATAAAAATTTTTGCCTATAATCATATTATGAATGAAGAGGGTAATTATTATTACTGAACCGCCACCTTCTTCTAGACATTTTGTGTGGACTTTCCATTAATTAATTAACAATGTCTTGAAATAAATATGTTTGTCACATTATTTTTACAAGGGGGAAACTACGGGGTCCTCAATGTAAAAATCTCATCCAGGCTTACCTGCCATGGAAGTGGTAGAATTGGAATTTTAAACAGATTTTTTTGGCTCCAGAGCACATATTTTTGCCCCCAAAACAGGCTGAAATTTTAAAAAGTGTAAAAAGGCCAAGTCATTGAGTCACTTAAATAAGTTTTTTTAAAATTGACAAGGTCCGAAATCCAATTTTAGTTATGTTTGAGACATGAGTATAAAAATCACCATAAATGTACGTACTGAAAATCTGTATAATAGCATTTTGTTGTTTTTTTCTCTACAAGGATTCAGCATTTTTACTGGATAATAAAATTACTGTCTGTTTAAAGAGGTATTTTTTTTTCTTTAGCGGACAATATGAAAGATCAATATTCCTTGGCAAGTTTTCCAGTTTTAGATAATAAATAATAATCATCTCTATAAAACCTGATTTAAATTAATCCTGCTACTTATTACAATCTAGTATACAGAATGATTTTATATATACCTGACAACAGGAAACACATTTAATGTTTTTGGAATTTGAATTTTTTATATACAGTGATCACTTTTTAGGTTAGTTTTTCTGTTGGTTAATATGACTGAGTCTTATTCTAAAGAGAATTCTAAGTGTCTTAGTTCTTTCAAAGCTGTAAAAAGAAAACAATTTTATGTGGCTGTATCCAAGTTTTATAATGTTTATTTCATTTGGTTAATTATTTTTTACTAGAAATAAATGGAATAAATGAACTTTTGGCTTTTTTAGTGGCACATTAGAAGCCAGATGGAATAAATTTACTACTCAACTTTTAACCAAACACTAAAGTAAGAAGGTGAAAGTGACATATAATGAATTTGTAAATAACTTTAGCAAGTTTGAAATGAATATTGGTATATCAAAAACATGTTATAGTCATCTGTGGACAAAGGCTTTTTATTTTAGTTGAGATACTCTGTTGTATGAATTTTTAAAATATCTGACAGGATCTCTGGTAGAAATAGTAACTGAGAAGATATAGGTATTGACTTTCTCTTTTCCGCTTATAGCTTTCAGGTTGTTTTAGAATGTGATAAAAATTGGACTCAAACCCTAGAACTTAGCTATTCAACAAAACTGCATGTAATCAATGAAATAATTGAGTCTCTGCATATATATTGCTCGAACTCTCATACGTGCACACACACGTGCATGCTTGCGCATCCAAATAAAATGCCCAAGGAAATACAAAAGTTTATTACTGACAAGCACTAAAGCTAATAAAATAATAGCTTTCAAGACATGCAGCATAGTTACGTGCATCCCCTCTATCCTTCTGCAGCTGACAGTGAATGTCAACTTTACTCGCACACAATTTTTTATTTCAATAAACCTCTTGCAGCCAAAGATGATCTTGGGCTCCATAAATGGAATTAAGTTATTTCCACCTCTGCTGACAAAGAGAAGAATTCCTTAAGAAAGTAACTCCACAATTAGCTTTTGTTTGTTTGTTTGTTTGTTTTTTGTATATTTAACCTCTCAGGGTCCTTTTTTTTAACCTAAAAATCTAATTTGAGACTCAAAAATCCTTCAGTAGATACTGCAACATATGTAGTAGCAGCTGCTTCTCACTTAATTCCTTAAAAGATACAAATTTAAGTCCTCCTAATAGACACTTCACTACATCCTGCCCCCAACTGCAGAGAAGACAAATGCTCTCACTGCTCCCCCTGAGAAGAGAATGCTGTGTGTTTAAATAAAATGCTATTTCAGTTATAATAACTTCCAGAAAAGAAGGCACCAGGGAATTTGAGATCACAAAAGTGAGAAAAGACTGCTGTGAATTATAACTGATAAATATCAGTGACAACTTTGTGGTCACCTCATAAGACAGAATTTAAAAAATTTGAGATTATTATCAGAAGTATTTCAAATGGTTGAGCTCTCCTAAAATTCGTGAAAGCTGAAGCATTAGAGTGTTTTTAGTATTTCACATTTAGTCAAAATGATTCTTGCAAAGTTCCTCAGAGTGAAAGCTAATTGAAGAATAATTATTTAGCTTTTCCTAAAAATGTAAGTAATTGAAGTTCAGGTTTCTTTCACTGGACTGTAATCTTCAGGCAACCGTCCAGAGTCAACAGGCATAGTTAACTATGCCTAAATAAATTTAAAGAGAAGTTAGATTTGGAAAAATCTCAAACATAACTTCAAATATGGAGTTCATGGTCTAATAAGTTTGATATACTGTTGTCCTCAGGAGTAAAAAATAAACGTTTGGGCAACCTGTATACAAATTAATCATGTGAATTAATACTTGAAATGTCAGAAGAATTTCTCTAAAAATTAGGATGAGAGGCTATTAAATGTAGAAATAACTTTTGATTACCAGAGTGATTTATAAGGATCACTTCCCCTTTTTGAGGGGATACCATTAGTTTATTATAAAGGAGAGACATGGAAATTATTTACATCAGGAGAGATTTCAGAACTTCAGTGGACTGGACAGCTTCGTGTGATACCATCCCCATAGTGATTTATTCAGTATACATACTCTCCAATAACATCACCATCTCTAAGTAAGAAATAATCCTGTCCTCTAGAACTACTTTGGTACCTCCATATTCTGGGAGAAGAATTTTATTTCCAACTTTCATGCTAACTGGTAAAATCTCTCCACCCTTCCCTTGAAGGGCCAATCCAACAGCTACTACCTTGCTTGCAATACCTTTACCTGAGATTTTTCCAGAAGAATACTGCCTCTTTTGGTTAAAGTCTGAACTGTGCTACTTTCAACCAATGCTTGGTCAAAGAGGGGAAGAAACGCTCTGAATGCCTGTCTGGCCATGGCTTGGGCAGCCTCAGCACCTGCTCTGCTCTCTCTCCTTCCCCTCCATTCCTGATAGAAATATCTTCTTACAGTCCTCACCATCTAGGACTGAGCTGCTCCTCCTATGAGATCAATGGTGGCATTAGATTCTCATAGGAGTGCAAATCCTACCGCAAACTGTGCATGCCAGGGATCTAGGTTGCACACTCCTCATGAGAATCTGATGCCTGATGATCTGAGGTTGAGCTGAGGCGGTGATGCTAGCACTGGGGAGCAGCTGCAGATACAGATTATCATTAGCAGAGAGGTTTGACCGCACAATAAATGTAATGTGATTGAATTAACCCCAAACCAACAGCCTCCTCCCCAGTCCATGGAAGCATTGGCTTCCATGAAACGGGTCAATGGTGCCAAAAAGATTGGGGACCGCTGATCTAGAATATTTTTATTTTCTATCGCTGTAACTTTGTGTTAGAAAATTTAAGTGATTGTGGTAATCCTGTCAAGAATTATCATTTGTCTAGAGTCCTGCTGTTTATTTAAGACAGAATTGTGGAGTGATTATTCTATGTCAGATTGTGCCTTAAGTGAGGGTATATCCTGGTGAACCAAATGTCACCCACAGGGTCACATTAAATTTCTGGGCCCTTACCTATGAATGTAGGTAAAGATTTATCCAGAAATAGTAAAGCCTTAATTTATGTAAATCATATGAACTTTTAAAATTAATTCACCTAGATTTTCAAGTTGTATACTAAAATCAGACCCATTAAGCTAGTCACTGAGTTTTATGTTTTTAAGTAATCAGCTAGATCATCTATAAACTGAAACAGGATTAATACACTATGTGAAAAGCTGGGGACTAGCTATTAAATACTTGACTACCAGATACTTCCAAGTCCTATAATGAATATAAGTAATAGCCGAAAAGCCTTTGTTTAGTATGACATATTTTCAAATTTAATGATTTTTTTAAAAAATTGATTTTGAATGGCATATAGTCAGAATCTGTGAGTATGATTAAAATAATTTGAGGGGAAAAATATGGGCCCAAGATGCCAAACCATACTTATTCTGAGGTTATTTATTATAACTATATTCATTTATTATAAATTATAATAATTTATCATTATTTTTTGTATACTTATTCTGAGTACTAGTTAAATCATACAATACATATTTACCTAGGTGTCATAGCCAAGATTAAAACCACAGGCTTGGAACCATACTAAATGTAGCTAAGTTCCTACTAGTCACGTGTATTT